AAACAAATACCATGCAAGTTGCTGAGAAGGCCCTGATGGTCAACCTGTTTCCTCTCATTAATGATGGGTTCAGCGCACGTCTACACTTTTAGAAGATCCAAATGGTGCCTTAAAACAACATGCCAGAATCATGAGACTAAAACTGTGGTGCTTCTTTAGATTCAATAGCAGATTCCAGCTTGGACCAGCTCCCTAGTAAAAGGGTTGTAAATCAATTTTAAAGCAGTGACCTTTGGTTACAGAACTTATCCTCTTGTTTTCCAAAGCTCTCAATGCGAAGGTAAAAATCAGAATCAGCCCTTTATTATTCTATATCTTATAATAACTTCATACCCACTTATTCGTTTTCATTGTTATTGCTTGTTTTGCTTGCACATCAAGGCCTTTTCTGATTGCCTTTATTGATTGTCTTAATGGAGCATATCTCTTGATTATGATGCCACAAATTTAATGACTGAGTTATTGCAGTGCATTAATGTTTATGGGTGAAACCAATTTATGGTAAAAATATGTTGTTAGACGAAGCTGTGGTTGAACTACAAGAGGATCGTCCAGGTTATTTTCTTTCTTGAACCATCATACATCTCTTGCTAATGAATTCATTGTTATCTAGTTTGGGTTCATACTGTAAGCAACCATTTTTCCTGGAATTGAATATTTCTACAATTTGAGATCAATAAGTACAATGTGAAGCTCACAGGACCACTTTCTATTTCTATCAAAGAATTTCAATGGAGGTTTCTCCTTTACTTTTGACATTGTTCCTAAACAAACTTGCATAAAAGAAGCGAAGTTAGATTTTTGAGACTTGGGTCTGTAGTATTATTTCATTAGGATTACCAAATATGTTGGCAACTCATACTGGCATGAATGACAACATTTTTAAGCATTCTTCAAGTATTTTAGAACAAATATATAATGAATTTGGGGTCTGAAATTGTAACAAAGAATTATATAATCCTGTTAGTTGAAATTTGCAACTTTATTTTTATTAAGTGTATTTGGTTGATAACAGAATATCCCTTATTGTATCTTTGTCTCTCTGAGAATGGCCTGTTTTGATTCCACTTTGAGATAGAACCCACTCCATCACAGCACCCTTTCTTTCTGCCAGAAACTCCTTTTATATTGCTCATTAATCTGGCAAAGTTCCCTCTTTTCTGCAGAACTCCTGAACAAATGGACTGATGGAGTTCTATCAGTCTTTTAGAAGATCAGAGTGCTTTTAATAGGATAATCTGCCCTCTAATTCTTGCAAGGAAGGAATAGGGATTCCTGGATTATTATCCACAAGAGAGCCTTCCATGGTGAAAATTCTATAGAAGGCAAGGAAAGGGTCTGTTGCATCGAAAGTTGAACTATGTTCTCATCATCGTGTTTCATGGCTCTGAACCAAAGTTCACGTTAGTTATATAGCTGATAAGGAAAAGTAAAGAAAAACACATGGACCTATCACCTTTGAATTTTGGCAGAGAGACAAAAGGGAGTTCTTTTTTTTTTTTTAATTTGCGAACTTATACTGTTTTCTTTCTTCATAGCTATCAATGAATTCTGATGCAAAGAAGATCTTATCTAGGACAATTGTGCATGCTTTTCACTTTTGGATGGTGCAACTTGGGCTTTTTGTTTTTTTTTGCAGATGAATCAAACGGTTGCTATCAAAAAGCTCGATTGCGGAAGCAAGGGAAGGCATAAATATTACTGCACTAAGAAAAACTAAATAGCTCAAGGATCGTAATGTAATTGAGTAATAGATGCTTATACTCACAAAGGAAATCTGCGTCTTATCTTAAAGTTCATGGAGAGTGATCCTGAAGCTGTCATTTTGAGATCACAACATTGACCTTTAACCAACTGATATAAAGTCATGCGTGCAGATGATGCTTAAGGGCCTTGCTTATTGTTACAGAAACTGAGTCGTGAACAGGTGATTTATTTCCATGGGAATGCGTCTCTGTCAAATGTGTTATTGTAATAATTAAGTCAGAAATTAATTGTATTTTGACTATTATTTTTGCCTCAACTTATGTTTTGGAAGTAACTATTGAACTATCTGAGCATGCAGGGACATGACTTATTAATGGGAGCTGCCGGGTAATTGAAACTTGCAGACTCCGGTTTGGCTCACATAGATGTGAGCCTGGATTGCAAATCCCTTCAAGGTTTGAATTTGCCTTCCTCAGATGAAATATGAGTTTGTTATTTTAAAGATGACAGTGCATAGATTTACTGTGCTCCACTGTACAGATTTTATTGGCTTTCCTCTGTGAACTCTTATTACTATTGTATAGAGTGGGGCCTTAGACTTGTATGCCTAAAATTTTGGAAAACTGAACAATTAATTGACAAAAAGATGTCCAATTGCTACTTGTTCTACTCAACATGCATGGATATGCATATCCAATAAAAATATTGAACCGTATTTTTGTGTTGTCAAAAGACTATATCTTTGCACAGGAGCATATCGTCCATTCATTCACTGAAGTAAAATCCTACATAGGAGTATGTTTATGACCCCAAATTATGAGGATGTAACCTCCTTACCTAGTGACTAACCTCAACAAAGGAAAAAAAAAAATGCACTCCACATGTCGCTTGAAGAAACATCCTAAACTTGGATAGAGACCATTCAATTTTGGATAGGCAAGTCAAGCATTCAGGAACTCAACATCCAATTGATTTTTGTAAAAGATACTTTTGTAGTGATTCTGAAGTGGATACCAAATTTTTTTATTAGAAAAGATCCTCTAAGCTAGTATAGGGGGTAACCATATAGCGTGCTGCAATAGGAGTAACACATATGATTTCTTCAGTATTTGAGACCATTCACAATGTCATCTCTAGGTTATTCCTTCCTTGAATCAAGCAAATCGAGGCGTAACCATGACTCCATTTAGAATGTCATGGTCTATGAGGAATACAAGAAGGAAAATCCAGCCCAAGCATCTCAATAAGGGGACAGTGAAGATGCAAATGATTCATATCTTCGTTCTACAAATACCAGCCTCGAGCTGCATAGTTTGTTGGATGATTAACGGTATTAGGTTAGATTATATAGGTTTATCATGTCTCCTTTTGTTATTTTGATGGATAACATTTACTCTTTAAACCCGAAATACCATTCTTTCTAAATACTTCAACCTTTGTCAGTAAACAAACTCTCCAAAATACAGTGTCAAATTCTATATTTCTACCTCTAGATACATTTTAGGATATTGAGGTTGAAAAATTACAAGTATTTCAATCTTCAAGTATCCAAAAAAAGAACCACAAAGCCTTCAAGACAACATGTAAATCCACTTGCCTGTGCTTTCACAGTTCTCCATGCACACTGTGTTCATGCTTCAGGAGTCTCAGCTTGGGTAGTTGCTTGAGAACAGATCATGTCTCTCATGCTCCACTAAACTGCTGCTGTAGCTGCGGAGAAGACTCGTACCATATATTTTGCATGCAATTTGATGACATCCAACCAGTCAAATCATAAAATAAGAAACTTCCCAGATCTCGTACTCTTTTTGTTACTCTATAAGCAATCATGGCTTTTGAAGTCTCGCTTATTGACATTTGCATACTAAACCAGAGTTTATTACATATTGCTCGGTTTTGATTTCTGGTAATGTTCAATGGTAGGTCTAATTGCGAAACACTTAGAATCTTCTTTTCAATGGATTCTTTTTTTAAACCAGAGCAATATTTTTAGTTTCTGTTTTGAATATATCTAGCCAAGCTATTAGCAACGCATGCATCTTGCCCGAATTAAACAAACTGAATTTGATCGAAAGTCTGATAAACATTTTACAGAACAACTTAGTTACTCAGTAGCTGCACAAAATCTCTCTTAACATACAAGCTAAACTTTTTAGAACCTGAAAACCTGCACCATCTTTATACTATCTCTACAAATTATTGTTTAGGTACTATTATGATTCATGTTTATATAATTCTGACTATTTGAGTAATTAAGCTCATGTCAAGCTTTTCTGTTTTTACTTTCTTAAGCATCTTTTACTCCACACTTGTTGAAGCCTTGGTTTGCCATTTGACAAATTTTTTAAGAAAAATTGTTGGATCAATTCAATGCCATAATTTCCACCATTTAAGAACCACTTCCATTGCAAATGAATCATGCTCAATTATATATGGCCTTAAAACAACTTTTAACAAAAAAGAAAAGAGAGTTTATTGCTGAGATTTCAATCTTTTATGAGTTGGGGTACAAGG